AACAAAAATTGAAAAATTTATAGAAAAGGAAAATGTCAATTTCAAAATACAGGTGAATGTCCTAAATAGCAGAGTTTTTTTTTCTATTCTATTCAATTATTGCTGTTAAGTGTTTTTCTCTTATTTTCCTGAATTCGTAATAGTGTGTAAAATTTATTGCTCAATGAAAAAATTAAAAGTTAATCTTATCAACCTTAGGATATTCTACAAAAAAATATTTTGCATTCATTTCGAATTTCAAAGTAATTGTAAATGGGAAGAAAATGAATTAAAACTATAATTATAGAGACACACGAAAAACTCGGAGAACCTTTTACTCACTCAAAGATTATATTGCACAAATATGAATAGTGAGATACATAGCACTTACTTTTTCTCACGATGTAAGTAAAATAATGTGTTTTACTATATTCTCCAAATACTGAGCCATCAATTATAACTCTACATCAGCGTTCAGTTATAGGATTACACATTTAAAATTACTCCCCCACACTTACATCAACAATAATACTATTTCTCTCATTTTATAGCGAATGGAAATACAAATTTAACACAACTTATATTGACTATATACAGATAAAAGAAAACAGCAAAACAAAAAACTCAACTAAAAAATTCTATCCTTTTTCTGGAGTAAAAAAAAAATTTCATTTTTAATAGAAATTAAAAACAATGTAAAATAATGAAAAAATGGAATTAAAACAAAGTAACAAAACTAATTCATGAAAAGATTAATGTTTTAATCGTGTTATTTCACAAATTTTTTTAACTATGAAAATTTCAATGTCTAGACTTTCCGGTGATTACTAACAAACTCTACCTGATAACAGAAAATAATAAAAAGTTTGTGGTAAGTAATTGAAAAGAACAACTTACCTACCTCAAAACAGAAACAAAAAAGTTGGATCAAACTAATGGCTTGTAAAGTAGCAATTTTTCCATCAACAAGTAAAAACAATCTATTACATTATTTAAATTGCTTTCATTCAAATACTTAATTATTTCAAAAATTTGCATACATTTAGGATGACACATGATTTATAAAAATTTAAAGGCGTTAATATAGTGCTCGAATTTAAGGGTGAATTGCATGAGTTCAGGAAAATAATTATGTCTTTGAATGGCATAGCATTTCCCGTTAGCTTTTGCTTTTATTTAAATTCGGGAAAGGTTGCAGTTTCGGGAATATAAGGTGCCGAAAATTCAAATTTTACAAATTTCGGGAGGCAATAATTTGAGAGTGGATCGAAGGGCAAAAAAATTTTCTTTTAACAATGTAAACTATTTGTTAGTATCTAAAGGCTGCTAGATTTTTAGGCTTGTATATGTAGCCATCTAGAAAAAAAATTTAAAATAAACGTATTTTAAATAACGGTTAATCTATTTCGTTATCTTAAAGTTCAACTATGCTATTCAGCGGTAGAACATACCCAACACTATTGCATTACAGAATTTAAAAAGTATTTGCCCTTTCATTACAATAAATATTCCAAAAATGGAATTTTTTGGATTTGGAGGAGCTGTAACTTTTAGAGGGGATTAGATAGGTAAAAATTTTCTGCTATAGAAATAAGTTTCTAATAAAGATCTATTTATGTCTGAAATTTCAGATGTCTATCTTAAAGGGTGTAGAAATTTCGTAAACATGACTGCGGATAGACGAGTGGACAGACGGACAGAGCGCAACTAATAAGCACTTTTTTTGAAAACGTTTTTGGAAAAGGGCTAAAAACGGAATTTAACTTTTTTTTCTTTGGTTCATACCGGTAAAAGAAACCACAAACACACACATCAGATATAAATTGAATTTGAATCGTTTATGTTCGGGTAAAAAAATATTGAAAGTTGTTGGCGAAAATATAAAAGTTTTTCTTTGTGACGTCGACAGAATTCTCCTATTTATCCTGAAAAATAATCGTATAGCACAAAAAAAAAGAAGGTTATTTACAACAACATGAAGTATTTAATAAAATTTTAAACTTTCATTGACAGCATTTTACTTTATTTTTTTAGTACTACATTTGCAGCGCTTTTATTTTTTTTAGAAAAATTGTTTCAAATTATTTAAATTAACCGCAGGAATATATTTATATTCAAAAACACTGTTCTCGTACATTTGACTTCTCTGTATAGAAAACTAAATAGGAAATAAAAATAAGATATGATCAAAGAAGTATGGTTGTGTTCTGACTTCATCCAATTTAAATTAGCTAATAACTTATTATTGACTTCAGCTGTGAGCCCAATTAATATCTCTTTATTTGATTCACATAAAACAAGTGTCATAAATTTATGTAGATATCTATAAGTCGATATTTATAAATTTTCTTAGATTGTTTAGGTGGATTCAATATTATTTCATCTACAGAGTAAAAAGTACGGTGAAAGTAAAACCACTTCTTGTTTAAAAAACCATTTGTAGCAAAAAATTTTTTTTATGATTATTTACAACTTTATTTTGGACACAAACCGTAAAACGAATTTCGTTTGAAAGACGTGTTATGGAGAGAATAAGTGTGAATCTGGAAAGTTTCTCAAAAATTGTAATCTCACGTTTCGTAATTTTTCCAGTGTATGAAAACTTATTTTTAATTAATTTTAATAAGAAACTAGTATAAAATTTCAGATTATTATTTAAAAACCATAAATTAAAAATCATGAAATTTCAACTGAAAGCACAGTTCTTCTATCTTCAATATAATATTTTTGCTGTATCCGAAAAGTTCTATTTAAAATAGTATAAAGTTTTCCGAAATTAATCGTTTCGAATGTACTGAATGAGATATTTTACCCTTTTCCCCAGCACCAAACAATTTTAAATTGCTCTTGGTTACAATTAAATCACGTTAAATATAATTGAAGTAGCATAGAAAAAAAACTTCTATTTTTGACTTTTAAAGAAAACTTAAACGAGTTGATTTCAAAGTGAATGAACAAAAATAAAATATTGTAAAAAAAAATATTATTATAAGTTACGACTTTTTCAAGGGCTTCTCATTGTTATGAAAAATCAAAAAAAAAATTATGAAAAACTTTTGAATTTCTTTTTTTTAAACATTTTTAAAGAGCTTCTGTGTGAGGAATTTTCTATATTGAAGAATTGAATGAAAATTCAATTAGAATACAATTTTAAAAATTGTAGGAAAGAAAAAAATTTATAGGTAGATCTTAAGAATACTTTCCATTTACAGAATAAGTTTTAAAAATATCACTATAAGCAGTGATGGTAATTATTATTATTATAAATAAAATCTTGTACACAATTTTGTACACAATAACTTGAAAATAATCATCATATTTTTAATAACTATAAGGAAAACACTATTCTAGTTCTTTCTATTCCCCTTTCATTTACTCTAGAGAGGTATTGTCATCGTACTTAATTAAACATTTCCGGTTTTTTTAGAACGAGAATGCATTTCCGACAATAAATTGTAAATATTGTGTTTTGAAAATTAATATTCAACTCCTTAATATTTAATATTTTAATTCACTCAAATTTAATAACAAATTTTTCAATATATCACGGCTCGAAATTTAATCTTTAATTAAGATCTGATTCTATATTTTCCATCATATCCAAAACATATAGTTAAAAATTAATAATAAAAAAATCAATAATAAAATAAATGATTTTCATAATATATTTTAGAAAAAACCTAGCAAACTTTTCAGGAAAATCAGATTCATATTTATGGAAAGAACCTCTTCTGAGAATCCAAGTTTGTATAAGATGAACTTCTACTAAAAACCAAATTAAAACATTTAAATTATACTAACTAAAAAAACACAATTACATTTTAGTTAATTTAATTAACACTCCTTGAATAATTTTATTTAAATAATTTTAATTAACAATCCTCAAAAAACTTTGCATTTACATACATTGAGGTCGATTATGTGCTGATCACATCAGATTTTTTTAATTTAAAAAAACTCGTATAAATTCTATAATATTAACTTTGAAATTAATCGCATCGCATTAAAACAAACCTATACTATATGTACTATGTATGTTGTATTTATGTATTTATATATTTGTGAAATTTGATATTGCACATTACAATTTAAAAGGTGAAAACTTTAAAGTTGAATTTTTGTTTAATTGATAAATGTTATCACTCATACTGATTTACATTTTGGACACACATATGCATGTTCATAGGTACATATATATATATATATATATTTTATATGTTTATATATATATATATATATATATATTTTAATATGTTATGTACATAACATTATATTTATTATTAAGAAAAGTTTATTACTGATCAAGTTATAAGAATCCCATTTAATAATTTCAACAGAATTTCAAAAGAGTAAGATAATATGATGAAAGACTTTTAGTGAGTCTCATTACGAATTAAAGTTACTAGCATGTTACTGAATAATACATGTATGTATATTCATAAAAATATAAAAGCAAATCAATTTTAGATATTTTATAAACTCGTGATATCTGCTGATTTTGGCAATAAATTTTATTTAAGACACAAACCTAAAAGAATAACATTTACAACCAAAATAAAATTACTGATAGGGAACATAATGAAATTTTGTAGCCGGTACGGTACGATAATTAAAATTTCATAGTCAGGGACATATTAAGTAGAGTAATCAAAAATTGAATTATCAGCCAAATTTAATATCAGTAAAATACTTGTTACATTACAATACTTAAATATCCTCTGTGACCGGTTGATTTTTTAAAATTTTTAATAATTTTTTTTTTGTATATTATTTTTTCAGAGAAAAGCTTTTGATACAATAAGCTAAAATTATAAATGGAAAGCTTTTTACACAAAAGCATAGTAAGTACTTGAATTTCAATTAGTTTTTTTTACAAATAAATAAGATTAATTTAGTTATAATTAAGATGTTGTCCGCGAGTAATTAAAATTTTTATATTTTATTTTTTTAAATTTCCAAAATTATTGTATTCACCATCTACATATGTATATTATGTATTGAACATAATATTCGCGGAAAAATTTCTTATTATTTGTGAATTTGAGTATTAAAATTTAATTTTTATTGCTTTTTTCATCTTCTTGCTTTTATAAAGAAAACATTTTGCTTTATAAAATTTAAAAGAGAAGAAGTTAAACTTAAGGAAATAATTATAAATAGAATTTTTTAATATTACAAAATGATGTTAATTATTTTGATTTTTATTACAATAAATTTAAATCAAAATTTTCTTAATGCAGAAGGTGAGTTTTTATTTTAAAATAATTTGGTTTTAATTTTTACCAGATCCGATTTTTGTGATTAAAACTTGAAAATTTGCATAGAAATAAATTTTGTTTTTATTTACAAAATTGTTTTACTATTATATTTCTATTTATTACACTAACACAATATAATATGCTCGCAAAAATATTATCACTAACTAAACAATTAGTAAACATATGCATATATGTATATATGTATATATACACATATGTATGTACAATAGTTTTATAATATAAATATATTTATATATAAGAGCTTCCTTATTAAACGTGATTACATGTTTATGTTTAACCGAGGTCACAAAAGTTCAATTTTAAATCTAAAATTTATGAATGATAAGTCATCAGTTCTATATATGTCAATTATTAATATAGAATTAAATGTAATAATACTTTACGATTAAAATTAATTTAATATTAATTAATTTTTTATAAATTAATTGAAAATTACAAGGAGTTTTTAATAATGAAATTATGCAAAAATGACTAATTAATGTGAATTTTATGAAAAATTTTCAAATAAAAAATCTGTATAATTTAACAATAAATTTCAAAAATTAAATGATATTGTAATTTATTGTATTCGAAATATTAATACTACAACAGATGTATTCTAAACTAATGTTAAAAAAAAAATCTGGTCTGATCAGCAAATGATTGATTGTAATGTGTTATCGGAATAACATTAATATTGGAATACGTAAACTAATATTAGTTAATGTACACCTCCAAAAGTGTAATTTTGGATCTTAGTAAAATATCACTTAGGGGAGTTTAAAAAAAAATTTTGTGTTGTGGTATTTATTGTCAAGAATCAGAACTCACATATGAAATTTGAATAAATTCTATTAATTATTTCCCAATGCAAATATAAACAAAAGTGTAAAAATTGAGCTCTAGTAAAGTTTCATTATATGAATCCTATAATATTTTAGAATTTATTTGTTCACTGTTTTAACAATCACTTTTTTTGTCCATCCAAAGCATTTAATCATTAATAGCATCTGATTACCAAAAACATTGCCGACTCATCAATAAATAACATAATCATATTGTGTTCACTTATAATCCAAGTAATTATATCAAGTAATACTGTTAATTATTTTCTTAAAACTTATTAAGTATAACCATGTAGCTGAGAGCAGTCATAACTCAAAATCTAATCAATCTGCCGCATAACCAAAATAAACTTTAATACTACTTCTGATATCAGAATTTTTATAAGAACCTATTTTGTCGAAATTGAGACTGACTGACATCTGCTTCAAAATGGTTTATATACATTTAATCTTTATCAAAGAGACATGTATTTTAATCAAAAATTCGACATTCGAAATTTTGTGCCTTCACACAATCTACATCCTTATATGCAAGGCGAAAAAGGCGAATGACATATATTTTTTTTAACTAAAGCAACAATAATTACTAACTATCCAATTACAAAACATTTTTTAGTATTATCAAAACAGGAAGTATGTAAATATAGCTACTAATTTTAGCTTTTATCTAAGAAATAAAATGTCTAAATATCAAGAATGACCATGTAGCCACAATTTCAACATTAATCTTATTTATTACTGAAAATTAATGTTTTATTATTTTTTAATAATTACTATCAAAATTGGAAAAACCCAAAATTTATAAATATCAAGCAACGCAATATAAAAAAAAAATTAAAAAAATGATAAACCTTTTTCATCCCAAAATTATTGCAAGCGAATTCAAAGCAAAATAGAAATTATTTAATTATAAACAAAATTTCAAAGTTAACTTATTGTCATGACACTTAATTATTATTCGGAAGAGATAGAAATAGTTAAATTTAGCCCATTAACCTCTATATAGTTATGAGGACATCTCTAATAAGGTTGCACCTTATTCTCTTATCTTTTCAAATCTAATTTCAATTTTCAAAATTTAATTATTTTAAAGGGCAAACAAGGTTTCTCATAACACTAAAATATTTTTTATTCTATTGAATAATATTATTCAAGAGAAATGCCAAGTGTATTCGGAATTGGAAAATCAAAATCTATACTTATGTTTATTCTACAATAAAAATTTCCCATGTTATTATTGTATTTATTTTTTGAACAAATTTTGAAGTTAAATTTTTTGGAAGCCGCAAACTTTCGCTTTTATGATTCAATACGATCTAAAAATAAATTGATATATGTATAAAACCAAATATTTTAAATTTTAAATTCAATTTCAATTAAACGAAAAGGAAAAGGTAACTAATTAATTAACAAATTGTTAAGGTAAATTGTCTGTTTCAATGACTTTTTTGTAAAAAGTTTGTTGAGAGAATTTGACAAATTGAAAGAGAAAGGATAAACAAATGAGAAATATGAATTGCAAATATTTTTGCTATTATTTTCTCTTATTGTACATTTTTGCTGCCAATGAGAGAATTTTATTTTGAAATGTTTGTTTTCCCTCTTATTCTCTAAAAGTTCAAATTTAATTCTTTTTGAGTTTTTAATACATAATACTTATTAACTAAAATTTTTACTGTAATTTTATTTTATTCTTATTATTGGTCTCATTTAGAAAATGAAGTAAAACATTTTTGCCGAGTTAAGAAAAATAACTTGCCAGGGTATTGCACAATTTCAAGAGCATGCCTTTCAGTTTATAATGAAATAAAGAGGGGAGATAGAAGTTTTACATCATGTCAAATTCCAAATCAACCCACAAGACAATTACATGTTTGCTGTCCAGATCAATCAATTAAGGACCCAAATGAAAACGACGAATTAAATAATTACCCTTTAACCAGAACATATCAAAAAAGTAAGTACTTTTATTTTTGTTAATCTTAAAGTTATCTTCATATACACCAAATTAATTCAATAAAAAAAAAATTATTTAAAATACATATAGAATGCAAAGAATATCAAGAAGCTTCATATGTTTACATAAAATCGTATCCAGTAGCAAATGAACCAGAAGTTCTTATAAAAAAGAGTAAATGTGGGCATAAAGTTGAACCACTTGTCGTAGGTGGAGTTGATGTAAAACCAAGAGAATTTCCTCATATGGCAAGCCTTGGCTTTATAGAACAAATTAAAAATAATGATAATACAACTACAAATATAACAAATTGGAAATGTGGTGGAAGTTTAATAAGTGAACGATATGTTCTTACTGCTGCACATTGTTTTATACAAAATGGGTACGTTATCACATAATGTAAAATAATTAATGAAAATATTTAAATTAAAATAATATATAAAATATTATTTTCCTTCATTTAATTAGAGTTTCTCCAAAAGTAGTACGAGTCGGTGAAATAGATTTTTCAAGTAATGATGAAGAATCTGAACCAGAAGATTTTTTAATTGATGAATTAATACCGCATCCAGATTACAAAAAAGATTTTTTCTATAACGATATTGGCTTGATTCGATTACAGAAGGATGTTAAAATAAATCCATTTAAAAGACCAGCTTGCTTACCATCATTTCCAATATCCAATGATATTAATAGAGCTATTGCAAGCGGTTGGGGTGCTACAAATACATTGGGTATAGGAACAAATGAAAAATTATTAAAAGTTACTCTAGAAAAATTTACGTATGATGAATGCATTGGAGTTTATCAACAATTTAGTGAAAATAATTATTTTTCAAATGGTATAGATAAACGTACACAAATCTGTTATGGCTCACATAATGAAAGTAAAGATACTTGTAATGGTGATTCTGGTGGTCCACTTCAATTATATGTAACACATAAAGATATTAATTGTATGTATGAAATTATTGGTGTAACATCATTTGGTATCCTTTGTGGTATTAGAAATATACCAGCTGTTTATACAAAAGTTTATCATTATATTGATTGGATTGAGAATATTGTTTGGGGATAATTAAATTATATTATAATTAATATTAATATTTTAACCTTTAGCTAGTATTTTAATAAATATTAATAACTTACTAAAGAAAGTTACTTGATTTTTTTATTGGAAAACACGAATTCATAAGTTATTATTAATCAATTTTATATTTTTTTTAAGTTATACTATAAATTCCGTTTAAATAAAAAAAATACAATTAAAAAATCAGTCGCTTTGATACTTAAAAAAGTCCTACCGGAAAAAATTGAATGGTAATAACTTTATTTAAACTGTTCTTCGATAGCAAACAAATTGATCAGATAAGTAATTGGTCGAAAGTCGAAAAATCAATCAATTTCTTAGTGTTACAAATCACAATTTGCCTTAATAATACCCTATCAACATAACTTGTATTGGAACTTAATACTAAAGTAGAAACAAAACTGTGGAATTTATTAAATATTTTTTGAAAATTTTTTATATTAAGCACAAAAATTTTCGCTCCACAGCAATAAATTTATCATATATTTTGACATTAGTACCATTAAGTTTTTAAAATTAAATGACATTCTGTATATTCACCGTACACTCTGTATAAAATAATTCCTATTTAACAAGTGATTGTTATAATTTAAATTGCATGCTTAAAATCTTTACCAAACTATATGATAATTAATTTGGTTTACTTGTGAAATTAAAATATCATATGAATGCAAGTATAACGCATAAGTCTATAAACATATATGTTAAATATTTTGTGTATAATGACGTTAATTATTACCAAAACCGCATCGAAACCAAAATAAATTATTGTATACGTTAAATAAAAAAAAAACAAACAAATCGTAAATGATTATGTACTTCTGACATGAAAAAGAAATAAATTTCGAATTAACTGGTTTTAAAATGGTATAATGATTAAAATACTAAGGCACTGTATTAGCAAACGCACGTCATCAATGTCGTCAAAAAAATAAACAAGCAAAAAACAAAAGACTTATATTAGAAACTTTGAGTAATTAAATTTCAATGTTACTCATTTATGTGTTTAAGTTTATATAATAATTATGTACTCTATATACATAACAATATATACATATTTTTTTCATTATACATTACTTTTTTAATTGGACCGATTTTTTATAATCAAATTGAATGCAATAAGAGATAGCGCTTCAGTAATGATTAAAGAAATTTATAAACAAAATTGTTTAAGAGTCAACGCTGATTCTCTGTTTTATGTCTATTTGGTTGAAAAAATGAGAGTTATAACATAGAGAAAGAAAATTGATCAATATCAGCTATCGAACTTTGATTGAAATATCAATTATTGTATAAATTACATTTTTTTTCATATCTGATATCTTGGCATTTAAATAGAGAAATAGCACATCTACATTTTTAATTCAATCTATCCTCAAATCGAGCAAAAATAAAGCTTTTGGAAATGATATTAGTTGAAGCGGTATATGAATACATATATTATGGTATGCATGTCTTGTGCAAGGTATTTAAGGCAAACTTTTGAAATTATTGTTCATATTTTTGTTTAAAGTATATATCCAAGACTATGATTGCGAGATTTAATTAAATATAAAGGTAAATAAATTCCTTCAATTTTTTAAAAATTTATAATTTTTTTCATATAAAAATAAAAATATTTATTAATAGTAAAATATTAATTCGGTATTAGAGAAGATGCGTGTACATAAAAGCAATTTTCTTACAATATGAAATAAACGATATTTTCACAATATAAAATTATCAAGCTAATAATTATGAATAAATTTATTGGAATTCGTAAACATCATTCAGAAAATATTCGCCGCGGTGAATATTATGTGTGCTGACCGCACAATAGCAATTTTTTTAAACTTTACAATTGCTTTTGAAATGTTGTTGCAATTTTTTATTTTCATTTATTAATAAAACTGACGAGTATTTGTAATTATATTCCAAATATCTAAGGGATATTTTAACAATTAATTAGAAAGATCAATTATTAAATTTTTTTAACATTCTTAAGGACTATCTCTTTAGAATTCTATAGAATATCTCTTTACGAAAGCATACCTCTTCGAGAAACCTACCTTAAAACTAAGAAATATAGGTAATTTAAAAACAAAAATTTATCTCGATTAATTTTTGTTGAAAAACGAGAAAACGGTTAAACACCCTTTTTTTAATAGTCTTATACACGATAATAACTCAATTGCTTAAAATAAACTGTGCAAATATTTATTAAAAATAAATTTAAACTCGCCAAAGCTTTCAATATTAAGTAATTCTAATTAATTTTAATAATTAGTATTGATTATAAAGCAAAAATTTTGTTTGATGACGATTTAATGTTATGAAACAATTTTTAATAAAAAATAAATTTTTTTCTCTGTTCTTCTGTAGTTTATTGCTTATAAATAAATTTTTTATGCATATCGTAAAAAAAAAAGGGGTTTTCCAATCTTGGTAATTTCTCTGAAAAATTTAAACAAAAGATTTATCACAAACCTCATACACATTTGCATATTTAATGTCTACTCATAAAATAATTGAATATATTATGATTATCTATGTTATGACTCAGACAGAAAAAAAAGTTTTATTTTATATTATAGAAATTTTTTCATTTAGAGTGTACATTTTGGGGAGAAATTAGCATATATGTAAAATAAGATAGTTATATTTAGCAGCAATTCAAAATTGGATAAAGACTTAGACATAGTCTATTTGAAAGCAGCCCTATTACAATCTTGACTTCTGATGATTCAATACTGCAATTTCAATTAAAGGTTTTACTTTATACTTTATGCACTTGAACAATTACATTAAAACAAAATATTTAAAGTCTTCAGTGTATATCAAAAACCAATAAAATTATAAATTATTTAAGTCATTTTTTGCACCTTTTGCAAACTTTATTTTATGCATTATATTAAACTGTAGTATAAAAAATGTTCATAATTAAATATATATACATTTTCTTTTTGTTTCTATATAATATTGACGTATTTATGGAGAGATGTTTCACGTTTAATGACTCCTAAAGTAATAACATAAACCTTTCATTTATACTTAATAAGTTAATTTCTAGCACTTTTCCAAAAAAAATTTGAAAAAAGTGCTTACTAGTTTCGCTTTCTCCGTGCGTCCATCCGTGGACTTATTTACAAAACTCTTACACCCTTAAAAATAGAAATCTGAAGTTTCATATATGCATGGATCTTTACCAAAAACTTATTTCAGTAGAACAAAATTTTTAGCTATCTCCCCCTCTCTAAAAGTTATAGCCCCTCAAAGACTAAAAATCCGTAAAAATTTTTAATATCGCATTTCTTCTAGGCCGCAGATTGTAAGAATCTGAATTTTTTACAGTTTTTAGACACTAATTAATAGTTTAATTCGTTGTAAGAAAACTTTTTTCCACTACCAGCCTCTCTGAAGTTGTCGCTTCTTGAAATTTGTAAAATTTTAATTTTTGGCACCTTATATTTTCGAAACTGCAAATATTCAATATTTCGGTAAAATGCTAAGCCATTAAAAAATTTAATTATTTTTCTCAACTTGGCAATTAACTGTTAAATTCGTCTAAATCTGCAATTAACATTTAAAAATTCAATGTTAACGCAATGTTAAATTCAATGTTAACTCCTCTTTTAATCTGTTTTTGATATTTTAAAGACTGCATGCATTGATCATCCTAAATATATGCAATTTTAGAAACATTTTCGTATATGAATAAAAGTTATTTCAATAATGTAGTAAATATTATATAGATTGTTTTTAATAGCAGTATTTTTATTTGTTGAAGTGAAAAGTGCTACATTGCAAACCATTAGTTTGACCCAATTTTATTACTTCTTCTTATCACTAATTACTTTTAGTTATGAGAGACAGAGAGATAAATCAGAAAATTGAGAATTAATTCGAAGAGAATTTAAAAAAAAATACAAATTAAATTTAGCTAGGCACTTAGCAGTATCTCATTAGTTATTAGTATACACTAAGCGTAGTTGGTTGTAGTACAATATTATTTTATAAAGAAGTTATAATTTTTTTAATATTAAAAACTGGTTTAATATAAAAGCTTTATATATGTAACGTAGTTGTAGTCGCTAATTTTTATAATTTTAATAGTTTTTGTTGAAACATATTCACATATTAAAGAAAATAATGGCAAATAGTTTTCAATCTGAGAAAATTTTAATCATTTCTTTATTTTTTATTATTTATGGAGTATTTAACTCTCATTCACAAGGTATTTTTTAATAAGAAATAAATAATAATAAAATATTTGAATAAGAAAATAAATATACAAGTATTGTTAAATTCAAAAACTGATTCTGCGACAATATAGGTCCTATGTCGAATTTAAGAAGGACCTGGAAAAAGTTAGATTAAAATTAAAATTTAAATAAAATTAAAAAATTTCCCAATTTTGACCCACTTTCGTTTTTCTGCACTATTTTTTATCCGAACATTTCATTAAAGCCTATTTTCGGACAATATTTTTACAAATTGGTTCAATCCAGAAAGAAAATTTAGTTTATTCAAATAGGTACATAAATTCCCAAAGGAATTAAAATCATATTTGTTCGACAGTTGTTCCTGGAAAATTTGAGTTTTAAACAAAGAAAATAAATTGGTTTTAGAATTCACAAAAATTTAATAATTAACTGATTTTAAGATTTCAGAAAAGCTTACAAATAATATTTAAAAAATATTCTGATCAAGATGTTCTTTTTAAAACGAGCACGAAAAAGTAAATTTATTTTCCTTTAACGTGAAGAGCATGCAGAAAATAATAAATTGTTAATTAATAATTTTAGTAATCATTAACAGAAAAAAGTCAATAAATATTTTAAATTTAGTTTTGCTTTCTCTTATACTAAAGATCAGCTTGTAATAATATTCTTTTTAAATATTAATTTCAATCATTTTCTGGAAATACTAGAATAGATTACTAACACAATGGAATTTGTAAAGCCACGCGATTGAGGCTACTGAGTTTTGGAGTTCAGTTCTGCGGGGGATCTGTGGTTTTGTGACTGTCATAAATCTTGTAATTTTGTAGGATACCACAATAAGTCTTCTAGGTTGCAATGATTCAATCTGTTCGCTAACATCCAACTCTTGAAATCTGATTCATTCTAATCTAACCCAAACCAAGCCCCAATATTCTTAACCCCAATTATTAGGTCAATATACATAACTGCATTTGGATGCATTTTTTCTTTATGTCAAACCTATTCATTTCCTCTGGAAAGTTATAATTTTGGAAGCTGTATATTTTCTTATATTTATATTCTTCGTGTTATGATTAGTGATACCGGTGTTTTAGCCAGATTCATTAAAACAACTGACTGACTAAGATACAATCGAAACACTCAATGTCAAAGTGGTAGTCAGGGACCGTACGCGTCGACCAACCATTCAACCAAACATAACTATACAAAAAAGGTAAAGTAGTGCAACGAATAATAAATGCTCAATAATGAACTAAAATTTATCAGATTTGTACTCCAATGTGTACTAAACATATACCCTAGAGATATTTAAATAAAAACGGTAAAGATAATGAAAACGTTAAAATACTTTTTTAAAAAAGAATTTAATGTTAAAATTTATAGGTTTTATGACAACTCCAAGCGTAGACTTCGGATTAAATAAAGTTCGTCAGTCAATAAGTTGAACTAAAAATTTAAAAACAAATAAATTAACTAAAATTAATTAAAACTTCTTTCATCAGCTACTTGTACTTTGAAAAATACTGGATTGCCTGGCGTGTGTAAGACCTTAAGGCAATGTGCTACCGTTTTTCAAGACATAAAATCTGGAAGAAGAGATTTTACTATATGTGAAATGAATAATGGAGTATTATTGGTCTGCTGTCCTCAATCAACATATACAACAACTACGCAGACCCCAACTGATAAATTAAAAAATATATCCATGATAAGTAAATTAAATCAAGTTTTGGATTCAAAATAATTCAAAAACCAGAATATATAATATAATAAGTATGTTTTCTATAATGTATATTTGTGTATTTATAGAATGTCGTGAATACGCTGCAGCTGTATTCCAGAAAACTTATTCTATTCCTCTAACGGCTGGATCGCAACCACGTGAAAGACCTACAGATACATGTGGCGTCAAAACAATACCACTTATAGTAGGGGGTCAATTGGCGTCTTCACGTGAATTCCCACATATGGCTTTATTAGGTTATGGCGAAGATAAAAAAAATATTAAATGGGCTTGTGGAGGTACATTAATAAGTGAGAGATTTATTTTAACTGCTGCACACTGTATTAACACTCGATTGTAAGCTCTTGAAAAAACCATATTACAATAATTTTAAATTTTATAAATTTATTGATTATTATATATAATCATTTTCAAAAATTTAATGTTAAAATTTGTATTAAACATAAAAGGGGAACGCCAAAACACGTTCGTCTTGGTGAATTAGATCTTAATGTTGATGATGACGACTCAGAGGATTTTGAAGTAGAGGAGTCCATTGTTCATCCAGATTTCAAACGTTTATCTAAATACAATGACATTGCGTTAGTTAAGCTTAACCGTAATGTGACTTTCAGTCCAAATAAGAGACCAGCTTGTTTACCAGTGCAACACGACAGTAATGCTACAAGAAGCATTGCAACCGGTTGGGGCAAAACAGAGTGGGCAGGAAGCGGTTCGGAACATTTACAAAAGGTTACTTTAAAGAAGTTTACCGAATCGGAATGCAATAAAACATATGCTGCTTATTCCAACGCTTTACCTAGAGGAATTCAATATGAAACTCAAATATGTGCTGGATCAAAATACGAAGCAAAAGACACATGCCAAGGGGATTCTGGTGGCCCTTTACAGATATATCATACTAATGAATATTGTATGTATCAAATTATTGGAATTACGTCATTTGGTATATTGTGTGGTTCACCCGGAGTCCCTGGTGTATACACAAGAGTATTTCCGTACAATGATTGGATTGAGCGAATCGTCTGGAATTAAATAAGAAAAATTCATACAAACACACCAATTAGTTGTAAGATGTCATATGCATATTATAGATATAGTTAAGAATGGTTTCAATTTTCAGTCTTTTCGCTCCATTCATAACAAATAAGGGAACAGACATCTACAAAAAATAAACATAGATCTAAACCAAAAACATAATTTAATATGACGTGTTATTATTTAGAAATAAATTCTAGGTCGATGCATTCATGTTTTTGAACCTGTATCTCACAATAACAAAATCGAAAACGACTTCAACGATGCTAGTTAAAATCTGATGAGAAACTTACTATAACTTTGTCTATTTTAGAGTTAAAATTTAAACATTCGAATTCGGAAGAACATTTAAATTAAAACTGTTATAAAGAAAAAAATATGTACTATACTTAATTCATATATACTAAGAAACAATATTATAAAATTTGTACTCTCAACATTCTGCACATAATAAGCATTATAAAAACTTCCCTTATAAAATCCAGACTACTTATAAAACATCTCTCAAAAGTTCATAACTGCTTTTCTTATCAATAAGTGCTTTAAAATTGTTAAAAGCAAAACAAATCATATAAAACTGAGAGAGTATTTTAATACAGAGACAAAACTAGTACTCAAATAAGGGGCATAATTTTTTTGCTTTAATGTTTGTATTTTTAGTTAAGCAATTTGTTTTACTACTGTTCTTGAAATTAAAAGAATTTTTAGTTAATATTTGACCGTGATTGGAGCAACAAGTTATACAATTAATATCTTTCGGTTTAATTAGTTTTTTTCCTTGTTTTCTTCTTGTTCAAAATTCAAGTTTTAAATAACTTGAAGCTGTTTTCACTTAAAAATTTTTTGCAAAATTATTTGTATTTAAACAAGTTTTAATTCGAGTGAAAGTTTAAAATAATGAATTTATTATACTCAAATAGAATACTGAAAAAAGTTTTTTCCACATTATTATTATTCATCATATGTGGAATATTGAATTGTGGTGGCCAAGGTATACATATTATCGTAAAATATATAAAAAATTCACATAGTGGTATTTCATTGAAAAAAAAAATAACGTAGAGTTTGAATTTAAATGTACTTTATGTGTTGTTTTCAAAATTTTTATTAAATAACAAAATCAAGTTGTTGTTGGAATGATGTCTTAAGTTTATTTTGTGCAGTGAAATCTATTTGTAATCATTTTGGTTATTATCATATTGTTTATAATAATATTATTGTTTCACAGTTTATATCTTTTTCCCTTTCCCCCCCTGTTGTTGACAATTTTGTACACATTACATCGTTTAACAAATAATATTGGTTGTTAATAAAATTTTAATATATTATTATATTAATTGATATAATGATTATAATTTATTAAATATAATAATGGTATTAGCATTTTTGTAAAGTTTTTTACCGACCGTATTGTGTAAACAATAGGTAGGTTGTGTGATGGCAACAAATTTTGCATATCGAGTTTTCGGTGGGAACGTACTTCTCCATAGTAGGGAAGTGTAAATAAACTATTTTTAGCAACCTGTCGGTCTGTCGGTCTGTGTGTGCACGCGTGTATCTCAAGTTCGGCTGAACCGATTTTGATGAAATTTTATATGTAAGTTTGTTTCCACCATGGCACGGATTGATCAACTTTTGGTATATATCAGGCCTCGGGAACTGCACTTTTTAGCGGGCCTGTTTTACATTTTTGAACATTTTGAAGAAAATATTCAACCGATCGAAAACTGATCTGCGGGCTGATTTTACATTTTTCACCATATCTACGGAACGAATTGACGGAATTTCTTGAAATTTGATATTTGAGTTCTGGTTGTTACCGAAACTAACTGGCGAGCATTTCAGGGAATTCGGGTAGCACAAAGCGAAACTCTACTAAGAGCCAAATTTACATTTTTCTAAGTATGTTAACTATAAGCTTACTAATGTCCTAAAAATTGGGAAGAAGTATTTAACAGACATTTTTATAATATTCTGTAACACTTTCATTTAACTAGGCAATACACAATGCGGTCGGTGATGTGCTGACCACATCAGATTTTTTATTTTATTATTAATTACTAAAACATTAATTCTTAAATTCCTAAATATTCTCCAATACGAATGTATTGAACTGGAAGAACAATTGCATAATTACATAGATTACCTAAGTGTTTACAAACTTTTAATAACACTTACTTCGTGCAATTTCAGTGAACTTGATCTTTGAACTTGAACTTAACAGTAACACAGTAAATCCTTATCAATAATTTCAATGCAGTGATAATTACACTTTGAATTTACAATATTTTTAAAACAAAATAATAAGATTTTTAATAAGACAATTTGTTTTTAAAAAATTTTAAAGCCCAAAATGGATTACATGATACAATATGCATAAAATATTAAAATATTTTAGCAAAACCATCGTACAAATAAAAAATATGGTATGAGTTTCTTTTTCGATAAAAAAATTCTTTTAATTTTAATCATTGGCATAATTTTCGAAAAATCATTGACATTCTTTAAAGTGCTAGACATTTTTGTCGCATTTTTAAAATTTGTTTTGTATTTTGGTAAATATTTTTCATTATATTTATATTCGATACGATCATTTTTTCAGTCCGAAAAAATCATTAGAATTTTTCAATCCTGTGTGACTTTATTTAGCTCCTTTGAGGTAAATAAGGGCGTACAGGATCTATATAATGAAAAAAAAATAAATATAAATAAATTAATATGCTTTAACCTTCAGCACCTTTTAGTACAAATTAAACTTTTAGTACAGTTGAAAATTCAAAAATATTTAGCCAGTAGCAGGCCCGGTTGTAAATTGTCCGGCGTCCTATGCCGGTTTCCAAAAGGTGCGCTTTACCCGTTACGAAGCAATGAACAATATGCAATAAAGATTGCAGACAATAAATCACTGAATTTAATAAAATGCTTAATGCAAAATAAGCCATAGAATTTAAGCCTGGAATTTTCATCTTTTTATTTTTCAATGTTCGTAACGTATAGATACGTCATGTCATCAAGTTAATTTCACTGTAAACAGGAAGAAAAAAATTTGGAAAATCGCTTTATCCAAAATATGTATATTCATTACCAAAAACAACAATTAGATGTATCTGAAAATGTATCTGAAAACTTGATATACCTTAAATAATTTTAAAAATTTTAAAGATGTAAATTGAATAAATTTTACCTAAAATCAAACTGTCCATTTTTTTATTATTATTTTGTTTTCACTTCCCTTTTTTAAGCAGCATATTTATGTTTTATCAGTTTCATGCAAAGTGTTATAAAATACATTATCGTAAAATCAAAACTAGAATGACATGGAAGTTCATATTAAAATGATATACTATTAAACGAATTGGTATAGACTAAATTTCTAAATTGGTTTTATTTCGGTTTTTTTTTTTACAAAAAATTTATTGGAGTATACGATCCTTGAAAGTCGGTTCCGAATTTGTGTCAGATCTAGTTTTAATTACATTTAACTGAAACTTGAAAACCTAATTTAATTACAATTTATTGGATCTGGAAAAAACGCCCGGAACAATTTAATTGGTAATACTTTAATCATATCTTTTTTTATTTCATTTGTATTAATTTTGCATTTTGTTCTTAATGTAATTGAGTAAAAATTCATCTTTTACATCAGTTAAGAGTTCATGTAACATAAAAGTTATCATATTAGAATCAAAATACACCCAACCAAGAAAAAAAGATCACAATTTACTTTCTTTAGGAATTCTTTTAAAATTATAATGTTAAAACATTTCTGAAAACGGGTTTATAATGGCCATAAAAAACAATTGAATAAAGTAAAACTTTAACTGTTGATGAAATGCAGTTTTACGAATACCGGTTTTGGGTTCTTCGATAGATCACGGTCAATTTAAATTCTAAAATTTTGGCACAAAAAAATTTTCGCTTACTTAATTTTTCAAAGCTTGAGTTTTTTATGCATACTGAATAATTTAAAACGATAATTAAAAAACTAGCTTTTCTTTACAAGAACTCTATAAAAATAAAACTCAATATCTAATTCAGGGTGATCTTTTTATGAGAATAAATAATAATATCGAATTCAAAAACAAATGTAGTGCGATAGTTTTTATAACAATTACATTTTTCTGCGCTTGGTGTATATACATGTATGGTATCCAGTTTGCAAGTGAAGTACTACATTCCATTGCACAGATCCTGATATTTTATTTATTTTACCAAATTTCACCATAAAATTAATGTTTTAAAAATTACATTACAAGCGTTATATGCTATAGAAATGTTTTACATATTGTTATGTAATATTTACGTCCATTATATGTACATTGTATGTAAACGTATCAAATTCCATAATGTTTATTATAATATTCAAAAAAATGACAACATTTAGAAATATTGGAAGAATGCACTTTGATGTCTAATGGTTCACCAGGCACATGCAAACCTTTAAATGAATGTATTGTGGTTCGACAAGAAATAAAGTCAGGAAACAGAAATTATACACTTTGCAAACGCAGAGGTATGGTATCATATGTTTGTTGTCCACTACCAGTAATGGACATAACCGATAGAACAGGCGAAACAAATTCCATGAGAATTGCTGACATAAGTAAGATTTTGAATAATTTAAAATTATTATTTATTTTATTTCCACATATTTCATTAATAAGAATGTAAGGAATATGCTGAAGCAGTATTTGAAAAGCGAATTTCTAATGTTATGCTACCAGGTCCCCATAACTATATACAATATGATACGTGTGGGGCCAAAAGTATTCCTTTAATTGTTGGTGGAGAATTAGCAGCTCCACGTGAATTTCCGCATATGGCATTAATTGGTTATTTTAACAAAGAAACGGACAAAAAAGACTGGATGTGCGGCGGTACTTTAATAAGTGAAAGATTTGTTCTTACTGCTGCTCATTGCACCGATTCGTCTGAGTAAATTGCATATTTCTAATTCATATTATACAATTTCCGAATTATATTATTATCTAACTTTTAAATCTTATATTGTAGCGGGAAACCAAAATACATTCGGTTGGGCGAGTTGAACGTAGATCTCCATCATGATCATGATGATCCAGAAGATTTTGATATAGCTGAAATCATTCCTCATCCTAGTTATAACAAAAGCTCTTTATATAATGACATTGCTTTAATTAAATTAGATCGTGATGTTGAAATTAACCGTTATAAGAGACCTGCATGTTTAGCAAAACAAAAAGAAAGTAATACAAAAAAAGCAATCGCAACTGGTTGGGGTTTAACATCTTGGGCAGGAGAAAAATCAAGTTTTTTACAAAAAGTTACATTGGAAAAATTTGAGGAAACATATTGTCAGGCAGTCTACCATCAATTTCGTACTGATTATTCATTAAATAACAAAGTTATTGATTATGACATTCAGATATGTGCTGGATCAAAAACGGAAACAAGGGATACTTGTCAAGGCGACTCTGGTGGACCATTACAAATATTCGCAAATGAATATTGCATGTATGAAATAATAGGAATCACATCACGTGGAATTATTTGTGGTAGAAAAGGTGTTCCCGGTATTTATACCAGAGTTTTTCCTTATATCAGCTGGATTGAGGACATTGTCTGGAAAGCACCCAAGTAACAAACTGTTGTAAATTCAAGTACAAAAAAGAAGAAAATAATTCCAAAGATTTAAAACTTTCACTATTATAAGAAAATTGTAATATTTATTTTAAAGTTTTATAACATTTCGTTTTTAAATCGTTATGGTGTTTTATTTTATCTTTACTCGCTTAAAATTAGTAGGATTTGAAAAAATTATTTTCTTATTTGTTTAAAATTTTCTTCATTGTTTAAAACTTTTCTCATTGATTACCCAAGAGTGGTGTAAAGAATAAAATTCAATTTACTCTGATAAAAGAAAGCAATCAATAAACAAACTCAAGACATGGGTTCACTGCACAATTTCAAAAATTTTTACTATGATCAAAATCTCAGGCTTTTACTAAAAATTATACATGCACACTTTGCTTGTTATTTCCGTAACCAATCCTTCCAGTTTTTTGTTGATCAGTAACTTTCTGCGATTATTTCTTTTCAATCCTTTTTTAATGACTACGAATTTAAAAAATAATAATTGTAAAACTATATTTTACAGCTACTAAAACATTTGACAATATTTAAAGCAGTCGCTGCGAACTAAATTGATTTTATCAAAGTCTATAGACTATACCCACTTGTAATTTTTCATTTTAAAATTAAGACGTTTATTAAAACAACATGACAAATACTTTTCAAATAATATAACGTACGATGTGTATTGAAAAAAGAACTTAGTATCAAAAATATATTATTCATAAAATGATTCAAATATTTTCTTAGAGAACCAGCCGTGTACGATAAATATAACAAATCAAAAAGGAGAGTGCAAATTTCTTCAAAATTGTCCAATAGTATTTCATGCTGTTAGAAAAGGAAAATTAGATTTCACTAGATGTCCTATTGAGTCTAAAAAACTAATCGTATGTTGTCCAGTCAAAAATGTCGCTCCAGAACCAAGCCCTATACCTGCGACCATAGAAGATCAAAATCAATTAAGAATACATCAGAAAAGTATGAAAATTTAGAAAATAATTGTACGTTTTTTAGTTTTTTAACATTAATTTTACTTAAATTTTCACAGAATGTCATGAATATCAAGATGCAGTTTATGATCGAACTCATTCAGTTTCGTTGCTCCCAGGTAGTAGACCAAATAAAATTGATCGATGTGGTTTTAAGACTGTTGAATTAATTATTGGTGGAACAGATGCAAAAACGCGTGAATTTCCGCATATGGCCCTTTTAGGTTTTACCAATGGAAATGAAATACGTTGGGAGTGTGGTGGATCATTAATAAGTGAAAGATTTATCTTAACAGCGGCACATTGCATGAAAACAAGACTTCGTGATCCAAAAATTATAAGAGTTGGTGATTTAAACATTAATTCTAATGATGACGAAGCAGATCCAGTAGATATTAAAATTGAACAAATTTTCCTTCATCCAAACTATAAACCAAAATTCAGAAATCATGATATAGCTCTTATAAAATTATCTAAAAATGTTATTATAGACACATATAAACGACCAGCATGCTTGCCAACATTACCTGATCCTAAGTCTGATAAAGCAATCGCTTCTGGATGGGGTTACAATGATTCAATAAATACAGAAGGAGTAGATCATTTACAAAAAGTAACACTTGAAAAATTTTCAGAAGATGAATGTAAAAAAATATATTCAATGGAATCTGGTTTAAATCGTGCTTATGAAATTTCTTACAAAAGACAGATATGTGTTGGATCAAGAAATTCTACAAAAGATACATGCCAAGGGGACTCTGGTGGTCCATTACAAATTTTACATTCGAAGGAATATTGTATGTGGGAAATAATAGGTATTACATCATTCGGTGCGGGTTGTGGTACACCTGAAATACCAGGAGTTTATACGAGAGTTTATAATTATATTGATTGGATTGAAAGTATTGTATGGAGTTAGACATATTATTGAATACTCAAAAGAAGTATATTATATTTTATTATAATTTATAGAATTTAAATTACTGAATTAAACATATTATTTTTACAATCTAATTTTTGAATTATGCTAATGTGAAATATTATATTCGTAAACATTGTCTTGAGTGGCTCTTATATATACTGACATAATGATTTTTTGCAATCAAGGTAAGTACATACATTTCTTAAACAAGGTTAAACTGAATATCACGTATATAAACTAAAAATAGTATAATAAGTCACTCCCATAATCATAATAAGAACTATAAAACAAATTCTAGAAATTAGAAATAACTTTTAAAATTTCTATTAAATTTAATTTCGTTGAATTGTTTATTTTCCTAGAATCATTTGTCTTTTTAGTTAAGAAAAATAAAGCTTAAGCATCCCTAGAACATATTTACATATATATATATATATATATATGTATACATGTGTGTATAACAGCTATTATTTTTTTGAAAAGGGGAACTTTTTAAAGAATTACGTCTTCAAACGATATCGTAAAATTTCATTTCAAATCTTAATTGATGACTTCCCATACTAGAACTAAGAAATTGTGCTAACATCATACTTTTGTATAACTTGAATTTTTCCATGAAGAATTTAACTGTTCTTAACCGATTTTGCATATTTTTTACAGTAAATTGGTAGTAATTAACTTTTGCTGATATGATAAGTAAATGTATTGGCAACCTCAATAGATAACTTAACTGCAAACCATACAGACCACAATAAATGCAAATTACAATGAATCTCCAATCAATACATTCTATTGTAGTATTTAAAAGCGAAAGATACTCGCGTTTCGGTTGGTGGTATTGTTTATAGAATTTACATCATAGATATTTCAAATTAAATAAAAAAAATATTATCTGGCAATTTTTGAAAAAATTACTGAATCTAATTTCAGAATTTTCCAAACTTTTATAAATTAAACACCAAATTCAATTTGCAAGTTTATTCTAATCTGCGATCTTTATCTATTTTCTAAATTTAAATACCGAAATAAAATGAGAAAACAAAAATTACTCTTGTTATCACAAATTTAAAGTAGACTTGAAAATTCGAAATTTCGGTTTAGTGTAGTCTTAATCACGCAAACGAGATGTTTATTCGAAATTTTTCTTTATTTATATATTTTACAACTACAACTCTGAAAATAATACACACCCAAGGTAAATTCACACAACAATATCGCAGTTCGTTTTTATATTCATTTCTAAATGACTAATACTAAATAATATAATAATTTAATAATAAATACTATAATTTCCGATTTTATTCAATTTAATTAGTTTACTATTTTTGTTGATCGCAAAATGTTTTAAAACAAATAGAGATTGTTAAATCGCAGAATTATTAAATCTTTCTAAACAAAATAAAAATGTAGTTATCAAAATATTTTAATCAAAAATACCGAAACTTAATTTTTAAGATCGTTTTTGTCTTTGTATATTAAAATGGAGAGATTATTTTTGGTTAGTTTGAACAATGTTTTAAGCATAGAGAAGTTTATATGAAGTGCATTAAGTTAAAAGTGTCGATTTGACTTTCCAAAAAAAAAAAATTTGTAACTTTTCATATTTTTATCTATGACCTTTGAGCCAAGTATAGCACATAAAAAGGTAGGTGAATTAATCAAATTTTAATAAAAAGAGAATAGAGAATAATAAAATTAACAACATAATAGAGAATAGAATAATAAAGATCTTACAATAATTGTACGAGTAACAAAGCTTTGTTCTCAGGCATGCAAAAATTTAAAATTTTGGTAATAACTACCACAACATTATTTTTGAACCTCGAAGAATGTTATTGCTTTAACAATGGTATGGGCAGATGTAGCATAATTTAAAAAGCAAATTAGTTTTTGCTTATATTAATGTAAAATATTTAAACATAACATGAAGCATTATTTTTAGTTACTATATTATACTCTTATTGTTACTTACTATATTAACTTTTATTTGTAAGAGCCCCATTTTTGGTCAACTGTATTATATTGGTTTCTATGAAAATCGAGGTGGAAATATGAGTAATAAATACGATTGCTGATATAAATATTCGGTATGATACTTAACCTTACTTAATAAAAACCTTAGCGGAATAAATTTTGTGAGATGCTATAATAATCAATAGATAAAAAAACGCTCAAGGTACACTTAACCCTAACATTTATATGCAAACAATTTCAGTTATATAAAGATAAATTTCTTCATTCACTTACATTGTTTTAAAAATTGCATACATCGCGGCGACTCTTGCAGCATTTAACTGAAAGTTAATATGACATAAATTATTGAAATGCATTCGGAACAAGAATTATTTAAAGCAAATCCCTTCATTTTAGAACATATATTTTTTTTTAAATACATTTTCTTGAATTGATGAACCGCAAATAATGAAAGGATTGAAATAATGGAACAACAATAATTGTATGAAATTTCGAAAAACCATTAAATAAAATGTTATTTACATATTTGTATAAAAATTAAATTTTTCAGAAGTTGAAACTTGCATTATTAAACAAGCTAATGCACCAGGAATCTGTAAATCTATATACGAATGTCCAACTGTATTTAAAAAACTACAAATGGGTAAAAGAGATTATACAGTATGTCCCAACAGCTCTCAGAAATTGCTTGTATGCTGTCCAATTGAATTATCTGGAAGGGAATTACCAGCTCAGTCGGAATTCACTTCAACAGAGAAACCTCAAAAATTATATGAAAGAAGTACAATTTTCTATTTCTAATATTAATAAATCAAATTATACTTAATTATATTACAGAGTGTTTGGAATATTTGGAAGCTGTTTATGAAAAACCTACATCAGTAAGTTTAGCTCATAATAATGATAATCAAACGACCAAAAATGAAAGGTGCGGTTTTAGAGTTGTTGGATTAGTTGTTGGTGGAAGTGATGCAGAACCACGTGAATTTCCACATATGTGCTTGCTAGGATATTCAGTTAATCAAACAATAAAATGGGAATGTGGTGGTTCATTAATAAGTGAAAAATATGTTCTAACAGCTGCTCATTGCATAAAAACGGGTTTGGGAGAACCCAAAATTATTCGTATTGGTGATTTAAATATTAATTCTGATACAGATGATGCTGAACCAGAAGAAATTCCCGTAGAAGAAAATATTGTTCATCCGAACTACAATAAGAAAAGGAGAAAATATGATATTGCTTTGTTAAAGCTTCAACGAAATGTTGATATTAATACATATAGGCGACCAGCATGTTTACCATCATCATATGATTGGCCATATTCAAAAGCCATAGTAACTGGTTGGGGAAATACTGAAGCAATAAATGTTTTGGGTTCATCAATTCTACAAAAAGTAGTATTAGAAAAATTTACTGAAAATGAATGTAATAATCAACAATTCAATGTTAATTATGAAATACAAAATTGTCTTGGTTCTAGAAACACTCTCATAGAAATGGATTCTTGTCAAGGTGATTCGGGGGGACCCGTACAAATAAAACATCCAACTGGAATATGTATGTGGGAAATAGTTGGTATAACATCTTTTGGAAAAAGTTGTGGCGCTATTGGTATTCCTTCAGTGTATACAAGAGTTTATCCTTTTAATGATTGGATCGAGAATATTGTTTGGAAATGAAATTTAGTTAAAACAAAATTATTAGATTAAAAGCATTACTGAAAAAGGATTTTGTTATAATTATTGTGTTTCATATATTTATTTCGCAATTTTAATTAATAACGCACTAAATCTATTTTTCATTAAGATATTACATAAATTAATTTCAAATCCGAAACCCAACCAGATTTTAAATATTAGCCCAAACAAACTAACTGTCGAACGAAAATTAGTGTGTAGACAAGTTCCATTCAATTTTATCTCTAAATTGACTGAGCTATATTATTTTAGAAGATGGTAACAGTTTCATAATTTAAGGTAAGCTCAGCGTTTTTAGAAAAATATCCCTAAGTATAGGGTTCTATGAGTGCTCAAATCACCTTCCTTTCCTGTTTTTCTTTGGACTACCTTAAATGAATTGGAAATAATATTATTTCATACATATCAAAATCAGGCACGGAAAACATGATATGCGTTAGTAATGTGAGTTTTTTAAGAAATTCAATATTAAACCAAGACCAAAGTTATAGAATTCACGTGCACACTATGGTAATAAGATGCTTAAAAATTTACGTCAATGTTTATTTCAAAAATAAAATTACAAACGTATTTCGAATAAAATTTAAAACTTTCTAAATAAAGATCATTAGAATTTCTTGTTAAAAAAAAAGCTTTATTACACTTCACATATTTTCTGCGTTATTTCCAAATATTTGTGACGCAATGGAGAATTTGATTTTACTAAAATAACAATAACCGATTTATCATCCAAATTAACGATATTACATAATGACCTTATTTTACCTGTTTTTTCTCATTGTACGAATTTCTTTTTTTTTTTAATTTGTTCACCTGTCCGATGCATTTTAAACCTGAAAAATATTGACCTTTTCATATACCTTTCTATACGAAATACGTGTAGTGAAACGCGTTTAGTATTACTCATCTGTTCATACTAGAATAAAATTTTACGATTCAAAGAAACAGGTTTATATGGAACTATAATCAAATGTGCATCATTGAGTTTTTATGGATTAACGAAAAATATAGTGTTGGATAGGGGTATGCAGTAAATATATTTGTTATTTATCCTTAAAATTATATTTATATGCATAATATATGTAAGTTTATTCTTGCAGTGTAATATACTTTGCAACAGAATAATAAATTAATAAAATTATTTAAGTGAAATATTATAAAAGGGTAAGTAAATCTCAGTAACGGATTCTTCCAATTTTACGTAAAACTAAAAGACTATGTTTATATTTACGTCGAAATACATTAAGTAATTAATATTCCGCCAATGACAATCGAAAATAATGATGAATAAAAACAAACTTTCTCTGGTGTCTTAGCAGTTTCGGTTAATATTTGGTAGTTTGAAATTTTGGAGTTATAAATGAGAACATTCATTACAATTTCAGCAAATTGATTTTTTTTTGTAATTTGTTTTTCGTGTCATTATTAAAAAAAAACTCTCACAACAAAAAATACGAGAAAAAGAAAATTAATATGTTTTGGATTTTAAAAACACAAAATTAAAAAAATGTGTCAGCATGTGCGTAGCACAACGCACCGTTATCATTACTGCCGCTATTACCGGCGTCGTAGTTTTATTATGAGTTTTTCAAGTAAATTTTTTTGTTACAATGTCGCTATTGCCGATATCATTCTGTTTATTAAACCAAAATTTACTGTCTTCAATATTATTCAATTACAATGTAATCAGTTCAAATACACTTCAGCGATAATGTAGTTTTTAAACTACATAATATTTTTACCATCAACACAATGGTTTTGCATGAAAAGTTACATCTCTATTTCAAAAAAGAAAAACAAGAAAGCTTTAATATGAGCTTTAAAAACATTAATTTAACATCAGGTTTAAAACTTCAAAATTTTAGTTAAGTTTCAAACGGCTAATCGAAATGTTTGTTAAGATATCACAAAAAGTAATTGGCTTATTTCTAATTATAGAATTAGTGTATCATCAAGGTGATAATTTTTCAAAAATAAATTTAAATAAAATAACATAAATATAATATTAATAAAAAGTTAGAAAGTGTTATTGTTTATCTTAATCGTGTATCGTTTCTCTTATGAATATTTATAAATTGAAATAAAATTGTATAGCTACAAACAAATAATTCTGTTATAATATTTTGTTTTGTGCAACTTGAAATTTAAAAAATTATTATGAAGATATAATAAGAGATAGATAATTTTGATGGTATTTTACAGATTTGAAGTATAAAAATTAATTTTTAAAAAAATTATTCTAAATTTCTAGAATTATCATTTACATACATATTTGTGTACACATATAAAGATCAATAGTTAATTATGTATTTTTAAATATAAAATATTATATAATAAAATTTCCCAGAGTTTATTCAATAGCATCGTTAAATACCTTGAGTTTATTAATAACAATATAGAATAATTGGAAAATTATTTAGTGTTTACTTAAGTTTTCAAATCCGAGTTACAAGTTATAAAATTTGTAAGTGAATAATATAAAATATAAAATGAAAGAACATGTACAGAGGTTTAAAATTAAAAGTTTTGTAAAATTAAATTTAATAGTTTTATTAAATATCGTAAGTGAAAAATTGCACCTATAGCATAGTAGAACCTATTTTAATATATGAACTTTTTTTTAAATCTTGATTTCTTTTTCGTTGGAGTTACAGCTCCAGGCTTATAACTGTACTCAGATTGCAATATCTATATGTTTTATTTAATTTAAAAATATTTTGAAAAGAGTGTAATAAATCGAAAAGTTCTAGTATAAATTAATAAATAAAATTATCAATAGAAATTAAATTTTAAAAATTAAATTAACAAGTTCGGTTTCTGAAAATTAAGCAATAAAGCAATTGAGCTAGTTTTTTTTAAAAGACTAATGGTAATTTTGATGAGCTATAAACATCTTCCCTCCAAAGTTGCAATCACAACTTCAATAGAGTTCTATATAGAAATAAAATATTATGTTTTTATGGCCAATATTTCTAAACGCAAACCCATAAATATCTCAATATACGAAAAAATGGACTTATACCACTTTCAAAACAAACAGCTCAATTTCACAATTATATGAATTTGAATTTTTACAATATATTAAAATATTTTTCAGAATTGGACTTGTGTAGTACTATGTAAATTTAATTTTTACTTATTGTGATTTTTTTGATGATGATGATTTTGATGATTTTTTCGGACTCAACAATTTTTATCAAGATTCCTTTTTAAATTTATTACAATTTTATTATTCGATAAGTCAAGTAAGAACATAAAATGTAATACAATGTTCTATATAATTATGTCCGGTACTGTAATATCTTAAATTTTTTACCGATTTTCATTCCTAATGATTAATAACTAAGAAAAGCCTTTAACACTTAAAACATTAGTCCGGATCAATAATTTAACAAAAAAAAAATTATTTTAACCAAAATAAATATTGATTTTTTTGTTTTTCAGCATTTCAGCCGTGCCAAGCACAATTTCAACGATTGGCAGAACAAAGTATGATAAATACAATTTTTTTTGCAAAAATATGAAAGGAAAAAAAAAATATTTAACAAATACTTAATTTATAAATTGCAGAATGCCATGAATATCAACAATATGTTAAAGAAAAAAGTTCTTCAGTTGCATTAATTGCTGGCGGTCCACGACATGAAACTACTGTTGAAAGATGCGGCTTAAGATCTGTTGAATTAATTCTTGGTGGTAAAGATGCCAAACCTTTAGAATTTCCCCACATGGCTTTAATAGGATACAAACCATTAGATGAAGTCTTTTGGAAATGTGGTGGTTCGCTGATAAGTGAAAAATTTATTTTAACAGCAGCACATTGTAAAAGGACGCCATTCGGCCCACCAAGAATTGTTAGAGTAGGTGAATTAAATATCAAATCAGACACAGACGATGCTGCTCCACAAGATTTTAATGTTCAACAAATGATAAACCATCCGAATTATAAAGCAAAATTAAGAATAAATGATATTGCACTTATTCAATTAGCCGGTACTGTAAAATTCGATAGATTTAAAAGACCAGCTTGCTTAGCGTCATCTTTTGACTGGCCAAAAACATATGCTTGGGCAACTGGATGGGGTGTTAATAATACAGATGATACAATAGGAACAGCTCATTTACAGAAAGTAAAACTTGATAAATTCTCAGAAGATATATGTAAAAGCAAATATCCTACATATTCTATAAAGTATTCAGAGCAAGTATGTGTTGGTTCAAATACTAAAGAAGTAGACACATGTCAAGGGGATTCAGGTGGGCCATTACAAACTTTGCATACAAAAGAGGATTGCATGTGGGAAATAGTTGGTGTTACATCATATGGACATGGCTGTGGTTCAATTGGTGTACCTGGAGTTTATGCAAGAGTATTCCCATACATTAATTGGATAGAACAAATTGTTTGGGGATAAATTATTGTGAGAAAATAAAGGAGATTTTATAATAAAATTTAAGTAAAATTAAAAAAAAAATAATCTAGTTCATTAGAAAAAACTAAATAAATTTAGAAATATGTTACGAGTAATATTTTAAATTATGTTTTAGTTTTAATCAACTTGTCTACATCTACAAAATTTAATGGAAGAAACTTGAAAAATTTTATTTAAAAAGAACAACAAACTAAGATTATTTCATTTATTATCTTAGTCAAAAATGAATAATTCCAGTTGACATGTTTAGTCAGAATACCATAAAAATACCATTTATATTAACTTATTAAATACCATGCCCTCTCCAATTTGATGTATGTACATATATTAAATAACATCTGTATAACATGTGTATGTACATACTAAAAGCAATTGAAATTCCAGGTGAAATCCCAAAACTTACAAATTCATAGAATGCCTTCCAGGTAGAAGTGAAATATATTATATATGTATGTATCTAAAGAAAGTGGTATTAGTGATTAAGTGTAATAAAATTTATGAATTTTAAAACGACAAGCCTTCGAAAGCTAATAAATTCAAACTATTGAAAGTGAAAAAGCTATGCGTTTCCATCTAGTCTGAAAACAATTCGGTTATATCAATTATCAATTTGTTAAGCTTGATTATATGGAAGCGTGCTTTGTGTAATCCTCTAATAAAAAACATTTTGTTTTTACAATTTGTATATCACTGTAAAAAATTCTTAAAAAAATAAAAACAAGTTTTACATTAACAATTAGAATTATTATAACCTTAACAAAAAAGAAAAACTTTTTCCAGTTTTGGTACTTTATATTTTTTATATATATACTGTAAGGCATAAAAGCGCATTTTGTAAGAATGTACATACACACAATAGAATATTAAAATTGGAATAAACTGTAATGAAATTATATGTAATATAAAAGCGATTAATTATTTATATCTAAGGCATTCATATGAAGAAATCATGTATTCTATACAATATTTTTATACGACATTGTATGTCAATTTCAATGTTCACTAAAATTCGTAATGCGAGTTCTTATAGAGAATGTTACCTCTAGTGCTGCATTGATACATATATCCCAGCGTAAAGATCTTCATTAGTAAGAAAAAAAATTGTTAAACAATAGGCTTTACCGCAATCGGTTTAGGGATACAGTTTCTCAAAATCTAAATTTTTGGCTACCTTCATTGAAAGTAGGCTATAACTTGGTTACATTGGTATCATGATCTTTTTAGACATGAGTTAGAAAAGTGGTGCAACAACCATAAAAGGAGCAGCCTTTTAAACAAATCACTTTTAGTTCAGGCACCACAACCGTTAATAAAACGAATTTTCGAAAGTTTTTTGTCTTTTTTTAAATAACGGTATATTTTTTACGTAATATAGCATCTACCCAAAATTTTTTAAGATTCGGGACGCCTGACTCACTAATAATTTTGAATTTCAAGATTGTAGCTATAACGTTCTATTTTAAAGGTATTCGCTCTTAAAAATTTTTAATTTAATTTGTATAATATTTGTGTATAACAAATTTTACAATTAAATTAATTCAATTAAATCGACAAATTGTTATTATTATTTCTCACACTAATCAAATTTCTTTTATTTTTCATTCTTTTATTGGAAAAACATCAATAATTTACGGTAGACTATCTTTATTAAATATTCATTAATACTAAGTACGTACATTTCAAGGCTATACAAAAAATCATCTAAATGAAATCTATTTTTTTCAGTCAAGGCAATTTCTTCAAGCTCTCATAATTGCATAAAATCATATATGATATTAACATTTATGTATATATGTGTTTTTTGGCCAGCTGTATATTTTAAAGATTTTTTGCAAAATTTTGATATTTTGGTTTTTGATTTACCTTAATTTTAATTTTACTCTGTTTCAATTAGACTCCGCCTTTCTTTTTCATATAAAATAACAATGATTAATACGTACCTAGATATGTATGTATTTTATGCTTATTTGAATGTTTTCTTTTAATCTCATTTCGCGAAATAGGTGTTAAAAACATAAAGTAAATATTCATAAAGAAGCAGGATGATGAAGACCTGATGTTTTCAAAAAATCTAAAAAAAAAAAAATAAATTATTTTAATCATAAACACAATTGAATGAGCAAGTTTTAACAAACTTTGAGCTTATGAGAAATTGAAAAACAGGAATTCCGTGTTAAGCTTTATTAATAATTTTTATATTTGTTTTCTAATTTTGTACTAACTCTCGAACGTCAAAGCTTTGTGAAGCTTAACGTAATGTAAAATTAAAAGAATTTACATTGCATTCAAACATGAAATTCCCCAACGGGGGGAGGGTGGGGGCTAATCGATTTAATAAATAAAATCGATCTTATATAACGAAATTATCTCATACTCTAATAGCCAATAAGAACAGCTGTTGGATTGAACAATTTTTCAATTTATTAATGACATAATTTGTATTTTACTTAATTCTAACTCTAATTTATTTTATCAAATTTAATTTTTTACAAAAAACTTATTTGAAATTATTGTTTAAAAGCATAAAACCTAGGAATTTTTTATAATACTTTTTAAATAAAAAAGATACTTAGTCCTTAAAATGCTAATTTTAAAGAAGATGGTAATAAAGAATTTTGTAAAAACTATTTGTCATATTAGAAGTCCTTCAATGTCAAAGAATCGAAATTTGTATTCCGAAATGCAAAGCAAAGAAATGCGATTTTGTTTGACAACGGAGAGCCATTAATTTTATTTTGATTAAAGGTGGTTTCGATGGTTAATAACACTAAATATTATCACACTTAATTCTATATAGTAGGCCTTTTTTGCTTTAACCAACCAGGTTATGTGATACCACCAAATTTAGCATGTCAAGTGTTTAAAAGTGTATTTCAATAAGGGTTAAATGATTTTAATGCAATTTATATCTGGGTCTGCTTCGAAAATGTTATCTGCATCTGGGTCTTTATTACAGACTTGGAACAAGTGGATCTTTATTAAAAGATATTTTAGTTTTTATAAATTTCGAAAACAGCTGGTATATTGGATGGTACACAATCACTCCTTTGCATATCATTTTCAATGCTTGATTTAAGTTAAAAATTTTCATATTATACTTTAACTCCCAGTAAATACACACATATGCAGATATTGTCATATCTCGTGCACACACGAGACGAAAGCTTCAACATAAGAGAGCAATAATTGCTTCATCAGTTTTGTACTTTTTAATAATATTTAGTTGAGTTTCAAACGGCTAATTGAAATGTCTTCCAAGATATCACTCAGTGTGGTTGGATTTTTTTTGATTATTCAATTAATAAATTATCAAGGTGACATTTTTTATAAAAATTATGAAAATGAAATATTAATAAATAATTAAAATTTTTTAAAAGATAAAAAATTTCTATAGTCAAATACATATTATCAGAGTACATATTTTACTCAAACGAAAATTTATTAATATTTTTGTTTTTGTGATATATTAAATTAAGAAAGTTATCAATAAGAAAGTCAGAATAGATCAAAAATGCAAATTGACATACAAAACTTGATTAAGTGAATATTTTACCAGTTATACAATAAATAACATTATCAATTTCATCTAGTTATTATTAAACTTGTAAACATCGTTACCCTGTGTATTCTCTGTTATTTTGTATTTAATAATCTATAAAATAAGCATGTATCTAACGCTGCACATGGAAATAAAAAATGTGAATTCGAAAGCCCCCAAAAGGTGTAGTTTATTCTACACTTTTTCTACAAGCTATTTAAAAATTTGAAATCCTTATTAAAGACAATAATTTAAAAGAACATAGACAAAAGAAAAAGAAAACGTAGTACTCGTAAGTAAACAAAATGAAATGTAAGCACAGCAAGTATATTAAAAGCTTCGTAATGTATTTTTGATGACCAGATCAGTAGTATACCTTATCTTACCAGATCAGTAGCTGTTGTATAAGACTGCAATATGTCTAGAAAATATTACGTAATATATGAATCAGGTGTATACTTGCATTGCATACAAAAATAGCAGAAATTATTATTATGTTAACGTTTAAAACTTCATATAAAACATTATTTTCCAATATTTTTGTAATTTACAAATATTTTTCGAATTTTTTTCATACTTAAGATGTTTCTTAAATTGAAAAATGTAAATTCCAAAAACTCTAATTCATTTACAAAATTTTCAAAAGCAGATGATTATAAATCTGTTGCTTGAACACAATACGAGAATCGAATATTTTTATAATTCGATATGATTGGAAAAATATTTTAGTTAAGATTTTATTAAGCAAAAAAAAGATAACCTCATATTTCGACTCAAGAGTCTGAGATTAACACAGAAACCGCGTGGCATTCAAACTTTGAGAAACATGGCTGTCATAAACAACTAGTCATAACTAATTAAATTTTGCTCTTTTATATTTTTAGCATTAGGACCATGCAGTGCGCAAATTCAAAACAAACGATTGTATGAACAAAGTATGAAATATTCCGCCAGCAAGAAACAATTGTTTTAACAAAAAAAATTATTTATCAATTACAGAGTGCCATGAATATCAAAATTATGTTTATGAAAAAAACCCTTCGATATCATTGATAGGTGGGGGCGGTCAAAGTCATGAAGATAAAATTGAAAGATGTGGTTTAAGATCAATTGAATTAGTTTTGGGTGGTAAAGATGCCAATCCGTTAGAATTTCCCCACATGGCTTTAATTGGATACAAACCATTAGATGACGTATCATGGAATTGTGGTGGATCATTGATAAGCGAAAATTTTGTTTTAACAGCAGCTCATTGTTATAAAACAGAATACGGCTCACCGAGGTTAGTTAGACTTGGCGAATTAAATATTAAATCAGAAACTGAAAATGCCAACCCACAAGATTTTAATATTCAAAAAATTTTAGTTCACCCAAATTATGACAATAAAAATGGAATGCATGATATTGCTCTCATTCAATTGGCAAAAAATGTTGAATTTGATAGATATATAAGACCAGCTTGTTTAGCAACATCTTCTGACTGGACAAAATCATATGTTTGGGCAACAGGATGGGGTCTTAATAACACATATGATTCAATTGGAACTGATCATTTACAAAAAGTAAAACTTGATAAGTTTACAGAGGATGTATGTCAAAGTAAATATCCTAAACATTCAATCACATATACAAGACAAATATGTGTAGGTTCGAACACCGAAGAAAAAGACACATGTCAAGGAGATTCAGGTGGTCCATTACAAGTTCTACATGAAAAGGAAGACTGTATGTGGGAAATTGTCGGTATAACATCATTTGGCCATGTTTGTGGTTCAATTGGAGTTCCTGGAGTTTACACAAGGGTATATCATTATGTTGATTGGATTGAAGAGATCGTTTGGAGATAAATTAAAAGCAAGAAAAATAATTAGCTAAGCAAATGACAATTAAAATGATATAATAAAATTTTGATTTCTTTATATATTACCTAATTTTACTACTAAAAACGTGTATAACCTGCATGTGAGCCTTCGAATTCTTCTTTGAAGTATGTATAAAATACAAGTTTAGTACTTATCAATTTCAGTCCAACTTTACCTTATATTAGACTTTATATTATATTTCACATTCTACAAACTAGGAAACTTACAATGTTCATTTTAAACACTTTGAGTGCATGCCTTTGCGCATTTTTCGAATTACAACGTCCTGTTTCAGTTATTTCTGTTTTTGAATTGTGCTACGGTGTCAAAACGAGATCCAAGGGAGTGTATTTTTAATTCCAAGTTAGCCATCGTAAATCCATTGAATTTGATAATACATGAAGTTGATTTTTAAGTTTTTGAAGAAAAGAATCAATATTAGCGTTGAGAAATAATTATTTAGTGATTTTTAAATCCCTACTACAATGGCATCAAGTTTTTTCAAACACCCAAATAGACTAGACAATGTGCAATCATTGACATTAAGTTACGACATCTAATTATTTCAGAAGAGCAATGTAAAGTGCTTACTTTTCAGCTTACTTTTTCCTAATTCCAACGTATTTCAAGTTGTGAGGTGTTTTGCCTTACCAATAACAAACAAACCAAACGTTTTTCAGTAAAAAATTTTTATTACACATAATGTGTTTATGCTTATTTGTCTAACAATTTTATAATTATTGTAACTTTAAGCGAAAATTTATAAATATACATAACATATTACATAAGCATATGTCAAAATTCTGCTGTTAATTTTCAATAATTTCGCCATTTATTAAGAAGTATTCAAAAACAAATAAAGCAATAATAAAAACTGGTTTTCTTTTTATGTAGAAAATTTGGAACTTTTATTAAATTTCAAATGTTTTTTCCAAACTCAATAGAGTCGATAGAAAATGTCTTCATTTCTTAACAGCTGGAATTGGTTTATTTAGATTTTGTAAAGGTTTGTATATTTAAAATCTTTGTTGTTTTTTTTTTAATTTAGTTAAGTTTCAAACGGCTAATTGAAATGTCTGTTAAGGTATCACCCGGCGCGATTGGATTGTTTTTAATTATTAATTTAATTAATGATCAAGGTTTTTTATAAATTTTATTTAAATAAATTATTAATAAATGATTAAAATTTTTAATGGGTGCTTTTTTTAAACGTATATGTAAAAATTATGTTAACATTGTTTATTTGTGGCATTTTAAATTAAAAAAATTTATCAATAATAAGAATCCAATAAAATTAAAGAAGCATCTTTTCACATAAGATTCCAATTAATATACATCTTATAATTATAATCTTGCCACTAGGAAAATTATACTTGAAGTACGGATTTGTATACACATATGCGGCAAATAATATACCCGAGTAACTAAGAGCTGTTTCGTTATTTTAAATTTAAGAAGAATCTAGAAATCACAATGTATAGTACAGGATGTACACGAATATAAAACATGAAAAAGAAAAAAATATATATTTGAGAACACTTGAAGTTTAAAAATTCTCTACCTAAGCTATTCGAAAAATTTTAAATGCTTATTGAAGATAGCAATTTAAAATAATTTAGACAAAAACAAAAAGAACGTAGTAATAAAATGACTGGCTGGTATCAAATATCATAAGATTCGTACTGCATTTTAGACACCCAGCATACCTGTTATTTTATAATTCAATATTATGTATAAAAATATTACGTAATATGTTTTGCAAACTAGTATTCAATAGTAGCTCATTTTTGCAAATACTCAAAAGACGATATAAAAATCTTTCTTCTTTAATATTTTTATAAACGAACACATACATATATAAATTCTCATAATTTGCAAACATTTTTCGATTGTTTTTTTAAGTGTGCTTCTCATTATCTTAAATTGAACTTAATACAATTAAAATTTCAAAAGCTCTAATTAAAAATTAGCTTATAAATTTTAAACACGAAAAGCAGACGATTTCCCAGCTAAGTTCGTTATTGTAGTAACTGCATTTGAGTTGTCTGCAAGGCATATTTTTTTCATAAATTTCTGCATTAGCACACATTATTTGCAGACTTTATAGTAATTCAACACAACCATTGGAGGGGGGAAACGTCTACTATATGCTTTTCACAACATTGTTACAGAAAATTGAGAAACTCTCTGCATTGGCGATATGCGGGCTGACTTCAAATACAAACATAGCCAAATCTGTTGCTTAAAATGATTCTGAGGATTAAACTTTTTTGCAATTCCGGCTAATTCAAAGAAATATTTAAGCTTCGAATAAATATTGTGTTGTACTTGTTTTCATTCCATTTATCCATCGATTTTTTTAGATTAAAACAATTACATACATATATAATTTAATATTCTTGTTTTATATTTTTAGAATTTCTATCATATTATGCGCAAGCTCAAGGGCAAAGGCTACACGAACAAAGTATAAAACTTAATTTCCATTATAAAAACACTCCCGCAGGAAACTATGTTTTTTTTAACAAAACACTAATTTATCAATTACAGAATGCCATGAATATCAAGATTATGTTTATGAAAAAAGCCATTCGATATCATTGATAGGTGGGGGCGGTCAGAAGCACGAAGAAAAAATTGAAAGATGTGGTTTGAGAACAATCGAATTAGTTTTGGGTGGTAAAGATGCCAAACCGTTAGAATTTCCCCACATTGCTTTATTAGGATATAAAAAACCGGATGAAGTTTCATGGAATTGTGGTGGATCATTAATAAGTGAAAATTTTATTTTAACAGCAGCCCATTGTGATAAAACAGAATACGGTTCACCAAGTTTAGTAAGACTTGGTGAATTAAATATTAAATCAGATACAGATGATACTAAACCACGAGATTTTAATATTCAAAAAATTTTAGTTCATCCAAATTACGACAATAAAATTGGAATGCATGATATTGCTCTCATTCAATTGGCTAAAAATGTTGAATTTGATAGATATATACGACCAGCTTGTTTAGCAACATCTTCTGACTGGACAAAATCATATGTTTGGGCAATAGGTTGGGGTCTTAATAACACATATGATACAACTGGAACTGATCACTTACAAAAAGTGAAACTTGATAAGTTTACAGAAGACGTATGCCAAAGCAAATATCCTAAACAGTCAATCACATATACAAGACAAATATGTGTAGGTTCGCACACCGAAGAAAAAGACACATGTCAAGGAGATTCAGGTGGTCCATTACAAGTTCTACACGAAAAGGAAGACTGTATGTGGGAAATTGTCGGTATAACATCATTTGGCCATGTTTGTGGTTCAATTGGAGTTCCTGGAGTTTACACAAGGGTATATCATTATGTTGATTGGATTGAAGAAAACGTTTGGAAATAAATTTTAAGAATTTTTTGATTTTCATTTATCAAATAGATTTTCTTTTTGTTTGCTAGATTTAAGGAAGTAATTATTGTTTTTTGCAAAATTACGGTAATTTGAGAGGGTTAGGGTCTGAGATATATACATATCCACACACATAATATATTTATATACTTATGTATATGTAATATATGTAAAAATATAGTTATTTTTCTTTTCCTAACTCCATTCGGAAGCATTGGGATCTTTCATTTGACTTTAGAGTCAAACATCAGTTATATTGAAAGTTATTGACATTTTGTTGTTTATTTTTATTGGTCTGCAATATCGAATATTCTAGATACATGGGCGATTAATTCTATCATATATAAATACTTTATTTTATAATATTGTATATTAAACTTTAAAATATTAAGTATAATTATTATGGTAACCTGACCCGGGTTTGAACCCAAGGAGCTTAAGTTAAGGAATCGGACCGTATTATATATTTATGTATGTATACTCCTCAGTTTTGAGTGTCTATCAATCTACCATTATTACTCTTTTCTCAGTTATAAATTTTACAGGCAGCATTATATTATATTTTACTGTACGTACTTTGTTTATAATTTAAAAGTTATTATATCAATTTCATTTGTAGTATAACAGGTTATAGCACAGCTGATTAAAAATTATTTATAATTTTTTTCACTAACCACAACATTGATACAAGAAAGGAGGTATTGTTTTCATACTACATTTTTTATACCGAGTTTTAAACGAAAATATACCTTGATTTGCATATTGATATAGTTGTTTTACAGTGCAAGACTACTGTATATATATCTGATGATATGTCGGTCGACTTTCAATTCCTATGTCTCATCACTAGTTTTAAACGGAAATGTATTTATCCATGCTATAGGGAAGCGTGAATAAACTATTTTTAGAGAGATTTCTATCGGTCTGTATTCTCTCTTTGCAGATATCTTAGATCAGCATCTTATTTGAGCGATAATTTATATCTGTGTTTACTTTAGGAATAAGGCGAATATATCAAGTTTCTTTACAAGTCTCTAGAACTGTTTCTTTACTAGGGCCGATTTTACGATTTTGACCATTTTTAAAAAAATTGTCAGCGGATTTTCCTTAAATTTTATACATTAGCTATGTCTGACAATACAACAAGTGGCATAATTTTTTGAAAAAATCAGCTGTTAGCAATTGGATTTTTGTTACGGGTTAAATTTGCATTTATGGAGAGGGTGTTAGGATAATGAATTTATTACATGATTGGAAATATTTTTTTTTTTGGAATCCAAAAATTTCCAAACTTTTGCTAAGGGCTTATTTTGTATGTTTTGTTATATCTAAGGAAATTTAATATTTGTGTTCGGTTTATGCTCCCAAAATATATACTCCTTACGTTGTCAGATTTTTTTTTTCCAAATTTCCAACTATCATGCAATAAAATGCGTTCTTTTATGTTTTGACCACATCGCCTTTTTTCTATTTACATTTCTTTTTATTTTCATTATGACGTTTTATTTATACTTTTAACTTATCGTAACTTTAACAATCATTTTAAAATACTGTTGTAGTGTCCGGTTTTGAATCTTCAAACATATACTATTATTTTATAAATAAATTTTTATAAACAGCAAATTTACATATGTGTATGCTTATGTATAGCTTTAAAATTTTTTTTAAAACCGATTTATACGGTAAAGCTTTACATTTTTTATAAACTCTATTCTGTTATAATAGTAAATATTATTTTAGATTTTAGTATAAATTTAAAGTAGAAAGCAATATGTACATAAAAATCTTATTATCCGGTTTGATCGGTTTTTCTTTAATTTTTAATATAATTAAGTGTCAAGGTAAAAAAAATTTTTGATAATGAAATTCATTAAAATATCGTATTAAATTGGTGAATATTGTGGATGATAAATATAAATAAAAATTAAATAAATATAAATAAACAAATTGAATTTTAAAAAATTATTAATTTTTTAGAATATTATGGATAATATTAATAATTACATATGAAAAATTAAATATAGTTCTTAAAAGTTAGACGAACACCCATTTCTCTAGAAAGTGAAATTAAATTTTAGAATATTGAATAACTTCATAAATTCAAGTGGATAAATTTGATAAGTTTTAAAATTTAAACTTTTATCGTCTGATTAAAAAAATAATATGATTAAAATTTTATAAAATTAGAAAAAACATCTATGAATTAAAATAATTTTAATTTACGTAATTCATTATTCTAGTTTTTCGTTATTGATAAATTTCAACTGGAATGAAGATATTTTTTCTTATTGTACTGGTATTTCCCATTTACATAGATAAATAAACCAAATAAATAATTTAATGAATCATTTTTAAAATATTAAATTAGATTTTATTAAAACCCATAGTACGTTGGTAAAATTATTTGAAAATTATTAAGTTTTATAACAAAACTAATAAAAATTTTTTTAAAATGAATCAAAATAGACAAATATTTAAAAATGGCTCAGCCAGTTTAAACTATCTAAATATAGTCTGTTTATACAATTAAATGAAAGTATATATATGATATCCTTAAATAGATTTATAGGAATAATTTATTATACAATTTTTAATTTATTAGGTAAATGATCACGTATTTCCAGACATTGTAGTTTTACTGCGTAAAGTTACGTATTTCACGCAAAAAAAATCAATTGATCGATTAGTCATTTTAAAGCTATGACGCATAATGAATTTTCAAGATTGTGATTCTGAATAAAGAATGTTAAATACCCGTATATAATAAATAAATTTACAATATTTATTTTCTAAATATTCTATTAAATATTTTGTTGAAATGATTACGGTAGCCGTGTATTAATTTAATTGGCGGCTTTGCAAATTAAAATTTATTTTCAATGCTTAAAACCATGAAATTGTTTAATTAGTAAAAATATATATTATGTATGTATGCATTAGATCGGGAGAAATGTATATGTAACTGTTTCTATAAGTTATAAAGTTAATTAATAAACTATTGTGAATCCTTTACAAAAAATTTAAATTTGATATTTAGTGATTTAAAAATAAAAAAAATTAATTTTTCTTGAAATAATCAAATGTGGTGTATTTTAAATATGGTGTGGTTTCATTAAAATCAATTAAAGTTGCATTTCCTATTCTTTTGCCCTCAATCATTGACTTATGAAGTAGTTGAATACTTTATGAAAAGAATCATTTCTTAATCTCATACATATTTATCAATACAATGTGAATTTGTAAATATTTACAGCTTATTGGCTTATAAAATAAAAATAAAATTAATGAATTAATGGAAAACACTTATTTCCATTGTTTCCCACATTAAAAATCTCAAGCATTTCGTCACGCTTTCTTAAGAAAAGCTCTCTCTCATCATTATTAATTGAAATGCATGTTCTCCTTAAATATATAGATTTTTTCCCGAGTTACTCTGAAATAATTAATTTCAGTTAAATATTAAAATCCCAGATCATTACGTTAATTGTCGTGAAAACTTATTTTTATATTTTTATGAGTAACATAACAAATTCTAGACGGGCCGCAGTTATTTAAAAAAAATACTTCAAATATTTCACAATACCATACATATTTTGTTGTATTATACAATATGCTTAAGAAATGTGATAATATAAATGCTTAATGAAATGCAAGTCTAATTCTCATTGTCATCAATCATTGATTTATACTCAGCAATCCATATATATTTTTTATTTAATTAAAAGTGATATTACAGTTAAAGAAATCGTTTCAGTTGTATAGATCTAAGTTATTTCTGTGAAGTTATGAAGTACACATCTAAGCACATCAATACATAAATGATAATAAATAAATTAATATTATTTTATTTAGCTACATAGAAATTCATCATAAAATATGAAACACAATTATAAAAATTAAATTCGCGATCAGAATTTTAGACAACTTTTTAATAATTATAAATTGTTATGCCATTAAAAACGATTTTTTCACTTTTCATAATAAAAGCTTTTTTAAATCAGCATCAACATTGTAACATTTTTAGAAACATGTATGATCAAAGAAGACACTCCTGGTACTTGTAAACTGCTCAGAGACTGCCCAGAAGTTATTGATAAAGTAAGACGGCGAATGAAAGATTATAAAATATGCAGTTATGATCCATTAACTGTATGTTGTTCAGGATCTGAATCAAATCCAGTGCAATTATCCAGCCAGTCGAATGAAAATGGACAAGAATGCCCTAAAAGAAGAATACATGAAGATAGTTAGTACATTTTTGAAAAAATTATTAAATTTTTTTTTTTTTTTTTTGTAAATTCTAAATTTTTCTTTAAAAATTCAATAGAATGTACTGAATATGCTGAAGCAGTTTATGTATATGAAAAATCAAAAGCTCTTATAAGACAAGATGATATTATAAAAACAGATAAATGTGGTAATAAAAATATACCATTAATAGTTGGTGGAGAAAATGCTGGTGTAAGAGAATTTCCACATATGGCATTAATCGGTTATTTGTGTAAAGGGAAAAAAGAATGGAAATGTGCTGGAAGTCTTATTAGTGATCAGTATATATTAACTGCAGGACATTGTTTGTCAACACCGTCGTGGTAAGATTAATATTAATCAAATTAAACAACCTATAAGTAATTTTCCGTTATTGCCAAAGAATTTTTTTTATCATTTTTATTCATTTCATTGTAAGACATTTTAAGTTTCTTATGATACAAAATAACAATTTTTTAACTTTTTTAGTGGTGAAGCAGCATATGTTCGTTTAGGTGAATTAGATCTTTCGAATGACGAAGATGATGCTGATCCAGAAGATTTTGATGTTATTGAAAGAATACCACATCCATTTTATAGCGATGCTTCTAAATATCATGATATAGCTTTAATTAAATTAGATCGCAAAGTTAATATTAATCCATATAAGCGGCCAGCATGTCTACCATCGACATTTGATGGACCAGAATCTACTGTTATTGTTACTGGTTGGGGTAGAACAAAATATTTAGGTGGAAGATCAAGTGAATTACAAAAAGTTGTTTTAGATAAATTCAATAGATCTGAATGTAATGAAATTTATACACAAATACCAAATGAACTTTTAAAAGTTGGAATTGATGAAAAAATACAATTATGTGCGGGTTCTTTTAATGAAAAGAAAGATGCATGTCAAGGTGATTCAGGTGGACCAATGCAAGTATATCATCATAGTGAATATTGTATGTATACTATTATTGGAATTACTTCATTCGGTATATTATGTGGTAATCCTGGTATACCAGGTGTTTATACAAGAGTTTTTCCATATAATAGTTGGATTGAAAATACTGTTTGGGGTTAATATTTTCAAACGACTATGAATGGAAATACAAGTTGAGGTTTATTGTGTATATATGTAATTATTAAGTATATTTTGGTAAAAAAAATTAAAATTGTAAATTATAAAAAATTAATGTAAGTTGTTATTTATGTAAATAAAAAAATTATGAAATTAGATTTCAAATTAAGTAAATTATATAAAAATATTTCAAAAATCGCGATTTTTTCAATTAACCCATAATTTCAATATTTTTCAATATCATGAATTTATATACATACTTAGCTATTACAAGAAAAAATCATATCTCAGCTCAAAATTGTAAAAGATTTTAAAAAATTTTCCTTCCACTAACCTTTTTGCTAATTTTGTATCAATTTTCCAAACTTGTAATGCATTTAATGTACAGAATGTAATTATAATAAAATTATTCATAAAAGATTGAATAATCTGAAAAACAAAATCTTTGATAAAATTGTAAATTGCTATGACAAAAGGCAACAAAAAACTAAATTTCCACAATGCTCAGATATGAAAATTACTAAAAATTACCATTACTTTCTTTCTATATACATAAACTTTGTTTCTTAAAAAATCCTAAAACTCTTTTAACAATCATATATCCTTATTACTTATATAGATGCTTAAATATGTATGAGTATCATTAAGATATGTAAGTACAAGTTGCCATTCTACTTACTACATCTTTGTTTTTGATTTCTTGTTTTTGTATTGCTGTCACGTAAAAAAATTATTTACAATGAAACTGTTTTCGATTAAGAAATCCCAATATAAAAAACAAAAAATAAAAATGCAATTCAACTTACTCAACAAAAAAATCTTATACTTTGTATTATTCTATTATAAAAGGGAAAACTCCCCTCAATTATCTGTTTCTAAGTACCTTCTTTGACCTTCTTAAAATATTTGATTTCTTAAAATAAATTTAAATATTTGTCCGTTCGAACGACATGTTAAATAAAATTTGAATTTCATATAAATTTTACAAAATAAAAAAACTACTTCAAATAAATTTTAAGCTTGGAATTATTTTCTGGATATACATACCGTATCTGAATGTTATATTCAAAGGAAATTCGCCTAATTCTTAAACTAACGTAACGTGTTAATTAATACTAAAAAAATGTTAGGCCTTGTAAAAAAGTCCTTCTATACGTTATATTAGTTATACAAGAAAAGTTTTAAACTCTTAATAAATTTACAAAAAAAAAAAGCAATGGAAGATTCTTAGGCTTCGAGACTTCTACAGAATTCCACAACAAATTTTGTAAAATGCTTTGAAAATTGAACATAAAGAAATCAACATAAAAAATTATTCTTCATTAAGTTCCAATGAAATTTTTCCTAATGATCGCCTAAACATATGCAATATTACGTTTTATAATATAAAAATTATTAAAAAATTTTCAATGCAATTTTTATGTAATTTGTTGTTTTATTCAAAACCTTAAATTGTCAACTTGCTTATACGTATTTGGTATTATTTTTGTGTTAAGTTTTATAAAAAAAAAACAATTGATATGCCAAAATCATTTTGCAAACGTCTATTGTGTTTAAAATTTATTCATATTAAGGGTAAATAAAATCAGATCTCTTCTTGAAATTACCATAAAACTACTTTACAATAAATAAAAATTAATTCCAGAAAACCCAAATTATGATCTTGTAAACCGTGACATGAAAATATTTTAATGCAAAAATATTTATTTTTAATTATATTAAAAAACAAGACAATTTATTTTCAAAAGAAAATTTGAAATTAATAGTAATTAAATAAAAAGTAAATAGCTATGAATAAAAATTTTTAGAAATTCTTTTATTCGAAATTCAAAAATTATTTTTAATTACTAAAAATGTCATGTAAAAATCAAAATTTTACTCACCTTAGAACAATCTGTTTCATATATGATTTAAAATATATCACGTTGTTCCAATTTTTTATTAGCTATGTGATATTTATCGGCTACTCATTTTTTACGATCAATATATAAATGCTTGTTATAAACTGTATTATCTTTGTTATACTCGTACGAATTGCCTAAAACAAAAACAGAAAATTGAAAAATTTGAAAATTTTATATAAAATAAGTATGGAAATTTAATTGTTCCGTAAAAAGTACACTTTTCAATTTCATAATGCTTAAGTTTGAACGTGAGATTGTTATTTATAAAGCAACATTTTGAAAAATACATTCTAGCGTAGTAAGATTTCATGTAAGCGTATAAAATAACTCAAATTCAATTAGTTCAACACATACATACATACATCTTTAAGTGTCCCCGCGTTTTTTAATTGTGTACACAATTCCTTACTATTATATATATTAAAATTACAATTATTTTGCTTTGTTCTTTTTTTTTACAAATTGCATTAATTATTCACCTAATAAGCTGCAATTCTTGTTATCATTTTTTATTACCGTTTTTTATTTCCTATTTGCTTTTTAATAAAAAAAACATATACACCTTATTTTCATCTGCAAATAATTAATGCAACAACGTATATACTATGCTATTTCCTCGTTAAAATGAATTCATAATGAGAAAATAAGAAAAAATAAATGAACAAAAAAAAAATAATAAAAACAATCCTTTTAAAATCTAATGTAATCATTTCCGTTATTCTTTTCTATTACTGCCCGTATTCTCTACACTTCTTATTTTAATTGATGACAAAAAATAAATTGTACGTCATACAAGTGCATCTGTGTATTTTATATGTATGTATATATTTCCTTTTCTATATTCTTTACGCTGCCATATTATAAACACACCATACGCATATAAATTCAATTATCAGCTACATTACATACATATATACCAAAAACATATACGCTAAATTCCACTCTATGTGAATAAAAGTATTAAAAAGGATTTATTCCACTCTACATATGGATATGTCCTTTCAATGCAAATTTTCTTTTTTTTATTATAAAATAGGAAAAGAGAGTGAAATTTTTTATTAACAGTCATTCATACATATACGTATATGTATATATAGATATTCAAACATATAAATTTAATATATTATTCTCCTTTTTTTTGTATATGTGTGAGATTATATACATACATACATACATACATATAATGTATGCAATTGTATTTCAATATTTATTTATTCTATAAAAGAGGCTTTATTTGGCTTAGAAGCATTTAAAAAAGCTTGTCATTTCTTTCAAGAATACTTCAGTAGCATCAAAAACACAGCCATTAAATTTTGTAATATTATGTAAATGTATACAAAAATATTGTTTGTACATGTACATATATATATATATATATATATATATGTCATATGTACGAATTAAGTAAAATGAAAAAATATAAAATTTCCAACGTTAGGTACTTTAACAGTGATAGATAAACAATTTTAATTCGAAATCACGAAAAACTGTGATAAAATAAAATTTAACATTAAATTAAACTAAAAACTATGATAATTAGTGCATTAAAAATTACTTAATGTATTTATGTTACAGCAGTAAACTCATAAACATAGAAAAATTACTTTTCAATTTTTGAATTCGGAAAATATTTAGGAAATACCCTGACTTTACAATTGGACTGGGTAATACGGTATTAATACATAATTTAGGTTATGAACTATAATTTAGTTATTTCTCTATTAAATTTTATAGCCTAATTGTTTGGGCAAGTATACAATTTAGAACTAAAATTCAAGGCCTTTAAAAACTTAACTTCTTTTTAATCCTATGCGCTAAACATTGACGTTCAACAATGGAAATGCAAATATTTTTGTAAAACAAAAATGTTACAATTTTTGTTACAATTTTTAAAAATAATAAATTTTTTAGAATTCTTTTATTAATAAAAATATTTAGTTTACAAACTGGTTTATAACATTACGGCATATCAAAAAATATATACAATCATTTTGGTTAGCCAGCACTGACACTTGCACAAAATTTTTGTTACTTTTAAGCATTTCTCTAAAAAAAAATAGAAAAAAAGATATCCTTGTTTCACAGTTTCGTCTATCCGTCCATTTGCCTGACCCTAAATATGTTTACAAAACTTCTCCACCTTTTAAGATACAAAGCTGAAGTTACACTAGAAATTGATATCTCGAGCAGAAAATTTTTGCCAATTTCCCCACGTCAACTGGCTACTTCTGACAAAATGACCGTTAAAATTAGCCACAATATTTTCCAAATTTCGACAAAAGCGGAAAAATACTTAACCGTCAACCTTTTCTTTTCGCTAATCCTAAGTGTATGCCACAATTTAATATATATAATTAAATTTAATAAATTTAATATAAATAAATATTTTGGTATATGAATGACAGTAATTAATATGAAAATAATTTAAAGATTATTTTTAAAAGAAGCGTTTTTATTTGTTCAAAGGATAAGTGCTACTTTATAATCCACTATGTTGATTCAATTTTCTTTTTCATTGTTAATAATATATCAGTGGCCTCAAACACAAACCGCCTAACTCGAGTTAAGACAAAAATGAGATATGTTTACCAGCGAATTCTTCGTTTTGAGTTTCATATGCTCACAAAATTTGGTGGTTCTATGACTGTTGTAGCCGGAGTTATTGTCGAATTCACACATGACCTAACTCGAAATGGCAACTATGTGCACTTGCACTAATCGCCTAAATCGAGTTAAGATCAGAAAACATCTTTTTTATGTTTTTGACAAACCACTTATTTCGAGATAGGCTGTTGTTGCAAATCGAAATTAGTGACATTTTTTTTTATTTGTATGAATTTTTACAACCGCTTATCTCGAGTTAAGCTTTTGTTGCAAAATTAATTTTGAATTTTTTTAAATACTAACTCGACATAAGCGTTTTGTGTAAAATAATTATTGTTGGTTGTTTAAACTCATCTCGAGTTAGGCGATTATTGCAAATGCAATTATATTCCAAAAGGCTTCTTATGTCGAGTTAGGTTTTTATAACGCGTGCAAATAAGAACAATACATCAAAATTAAGCGTTTAGTGTTCGAAATAATACATGATCAGTATAGAATATTTTTTAGTTTTTTATAATAAAAAATATTTTATAACGCTTAAAATATTATTTTATGTGATATATAGTGTAGGTACTTTATGTCCATGATTTAAAACTTGTTCACTATAATTAAAATTAAATCTTACATTCAGTGACAAGGAAGATAGTTGTATTTTTTAACC